TCAATCGAGCTTTCTAGTCCATCAAATAGAAGTCACTCATCTCGCATTAAGATATATTTCGACTGGGACCGCAACGAGAAACTTATATAGCATAACGAATGCTGAAAGCCAAGTGAAAGGGTCAGATGGGTGCGTGTGTGCGTGTGGAATGTGGGATGTGGGTCGGTTGGGTGGCGCAGGGCGTTCGGATAGGACTTCTCGTCTAGCGGTTTTTGTGGGTGTGCGCTTTATGTGCTGCGCTTAAGCCTCGTCTCGGGACACATCTGATATCAGATTTGTCGCCGTGTCACTGTCGCTATCGCCGGCGCTATCGCAACTCAGTTATCCGACTGAGTCCACCGTGCCCGCACCCACACCCGCACCCGCCCCCGCCCCACATTCAAAGCCATTCCAGCTAACCTAACCAGCGCCTGTGCCCAGGGTCTCTTCATTCTAAACGATTGATGGCAGCCGGCAGCAGGCAGCAGCTCCTGTCAGAGTCCAAAGCGAAACACACACACACACACACGCATGCATACGCAGCTTCATTCCCCCACCCATCCCCCCTGCGCACCGTTCTTTGCTCCTGCCACGCTTTGGTGAGGAAATGATAAATTGCGCATTTGGGAGTTTTAAAGGTCAATTTAGGGGTTAGTCTGTCCCTGTGCCACAGCCTCAGCCTCCGCCTCTGCCTCCGCCTCTGCCTCTGCCTCTGCCTCTGCCTCTGCCTCTGCCTCTGCCTCCGCCTCCGCCTCTGCCTCTACCGTTGCCTGAGTATGAGTCTGTCCTGCTTACAAGTTGACTGACAGACAGACCGAGCCAAGCCAAGGGCATAAAGTGTTGCGGGGGGAAGGGGGGACGGGGCTGGGCTAAGCGAAAGGGGCAGAGGGTTTGATCGCCTCGCTACATATGCAGAGAAAAGGGGCCAAGTGCGCAGCCCATAAACAGCGACACTTCAAAGTTAACTCGCACAATAAAAAATACTTGTACGATTTCACACACACAAACACACACTCACACACACACACACACACACAAGCACACAGTCATTTATATGATATTTGTAGCACATTCGTAACAGTTTATAAAAAATGGAAAGAGTGTGCTTAGCTTTCGGCTTTCGGCAACAACAACAACAACAACAACAAATAATAAAAAGGGGTTGCACTCGAGCACCACTGCACCACTGCACCGCTGGGCGGGCACATTTGCTTACAGGATTTGCCAGCGCCTGTTGACTTCTAGTTGGCATTTATATTAATGGCCTCTGCCTCAGCCTCTGCCTCAGCCTCGTCCTCGACTGCTGCGCGACTCGATGTCGCAGGTTCCTCAACGATCCCTGCTTGGGTTGGCCAGTTGGGAAGAAGAAGAGTGGCACTACCGGCTATGCGGGTGGCGCAACTGCGCAAAGTAAACGAGTCAAAGGCAGAGCAAATAAATAATTATTAAACACTCGCAAATTGTTTTAGCAAAAAACTGAAAAGAGACGAAAAGCCAAGAATTAGTTATGTTTACAATGGCCAAAAACTTTGCTTAGTATAACAGTAAATTTTATAGTATCTGGCATTAATTGACTCATATCGCTAATAATGCAATCAATCAGCTGTTAATCAATCCAGAATAAAAAGATTATCCTAGAGGAATATCTACGCATAGCATCAGCATGCACAGGGTTCGCTCGACTTAGTTCCTTGGACCATTTCCCATTTGCCAATATAATAATATAATGTATAATAATATAAAATGTTTTGGCTGCAGAAGATATTCAAGCAATACAAACAGTCTAGAGTCTGCGATAGAAATCTCTTCTAATAAGCTAGACAGTTCATAGTGTGAAGAGTGTATCGACGCTTTAGAAGAATAAAAGGAAAGTCGTGTTGAGATAATCCTGAGATAGAAAGATCTATATACATATGTGGAATAGAAGGGAATAGAAAATTACACAATATTTATAATATACACTACACATAAACATAAACATAAACAAGTTTAAAGACTAAGCACACTTAAGCTGAAACCAAGGGACTCCGAATTCCAGGCTGGCAAAGGAGCTTGGCGGAACTTGGCAATCTTTTCTGTTCTCTAGCAAACCTCTGAGGCAATACGCAGAAATAGAGACAGGAATATAAGAGAATCGCAAAGAGGAATATAGAATGTAATATAGACAGAAGAAATAGAAAAGGCGAGAGGAATATAGAATTGAATATAGACAGGAATGTGGGCAGAAATATATGCAGGAAAATGGCTATAGCTAGCGGAAATATAGCATCATATATATATATATATATATTTTAATATTTTTAATATAACAATCGACTAATATTGTGTGAATTGTATTTTATATCGTAGTACAGTCGAGTCTCGATAGTCTGTACCCCGCTAAATCAAAAATCGCCATAAATCGAAAAAAAAAAAAATCCATTTCCATTTCTGTGTAAACCGAAAAAAAAAACCCTTGCCATTTCGAAATATCGGGATCCTACTGTATATAAGAATTATATACTGGAGCTCATGCCTTTGTAATATGTGCATTGCGTGTGGCACCTGTGCTGGTTGCTGCCTGCTGCGCTGTCTCCACAAACTGAATACTGAGCCGAAGACTCGCCTTAAGTCTCATTCGGATTCATAGATTTCATACTATTTGGGAAACAGTAGAAGCATAAGGAAATTTAACCCATGATAGAAAAATGGACAATCAAATTAGAGCTTCTATTGTCAAAAGTGATGAATAACTAAATTATAATTATTATAATAATAATAATAAATATTATGTTTATCATTATTGTCATCTTTAGTATATCACTCTTATTATATTATTATTAATTTTTTAGTATGCGCACAGTTTTGCTCTTACCTTAAATCCACGAGTCCCCCCTCCCCCCTCCCCCTCCTGCTACTCCTCTTTATATATGCATTTATATGTACATATATGTATATATATTGCAATCATCTTTGTGTGAGAAACTGTCCTGGACCCTGTCAGAGCTGTCCGGATGGGCGGATGGGCGGGTGGGCGGGTGGGCGTCGGGTGGCTGACGGAGCTGTCGCATTTCATTTAAAAATTCTCATGTCAAAAGCACACGATTAACGCGTGTCGTGGGCGGTGAAGCGGCGAATTAAGATATTTACGCTAACAAAACCATCGATTCAGGGGCAGAGCCAGAGCCAGAGCCAGAGCCAGAGGCGGAGACTGAAGCAGCGGCTGAGGCAGAGGCTGAGGCTGAGGCTGAGCTGTGCGTCTGTAGCTGACGCCGCCGTGCCCGCCTCGCTGTCGCGCTGTCGCGCTGTCCGGCTGTCCCTTTAGCCGGCGGCACATCAAGATAACGGATAACGGATAACGGAACGTCAGAGTGTCGCGCGAGCAACCCAATTCCTGTTGCCGTAACCTGGCCTTTGACATCTCGCAGCAATTGTCAAAGTTGCGCTTATCGCAGCAGCCCAGCAACCGGATGGACGGATCGTAGCAGCCAGGCGATGGGCGATGGGCGATGGGCGATGGGAGCGGGAGCAGAGGGCAGAGGACGGCAGCGCCTGTTGGCACGTGCGGCCACGTGTCCAACGGTTTTACACGTGCCACAGCGCCGACGCCGCTGTTCGATATGCTGTGTCACGGATGCGAATGCGGATGCGGATGCGGATGTGGGCGTGGCGTCAAGTCCACCTCCGCCGCCGTCCGCTGCACACCTAGCGACGGACAAGTGGCAAAGGTGGAAAATCCATTTGCAAGCTAATTGCACGCTGACTAACAAATTTTGCAAATGCACAAAAAGAGAGAGAGAGAGAGAGCACCTCCCTCCCTCCTTCTCTCTCTCTCGCTCTCTCGCTCGCTGTCTCTTTCTCTCCCTCTGCGGTCATAAAAACATATGACAACATTTTGATGAGACGCATTCGCTGCAGCAAATGATGCAGCAAATGGTCCGCCGTGTTGACACTTGGCCAGAGCCCCGGACGGAGTCGGGGTTGATCCGGGTCGGAATTGCGGGCCGCCTAATCGGACTTGTCATGCGGTCATCAAAACAAGCGTCGCAGTCGGCGGGGAGGGTTCGCCCCATCCAATTGTCAAAATCAAAATGCAAATACAACAGCAACAAAAATGCAAACCGAAAACAAAAATCTTTTTTCTTTTCATTTTTTTTTTTTTTTTTTTTTTTGTGTTTAACTAGCTTCAATTGGTTTTGTAATTCGAAACTGGGCGCGACAGGGTGGTTTGGGTGGGCTGAGCTGGTTTGACTGGGTGTTTCCCATTCCTGTTCCCGTTGCCGTTCCCCTGCCCCTCCCCCTTTTCCCTTCCCCTGCCATTTGTCTCTCTCTGTTCTGTGATTAGGAACGCGCGCCTCCTGCCCATCGAGTGCTGTTCGCATGTCAGCAACAGACGAATGTGGGCGAGATCAAGGCTTTAGCGCTAATAATACCGTTATAACTGAAGTAGCTCAGATACCCCTAGTTTAGATGGCTTAGACACAGCAGAAATACCTAAAATAAAATTAAATATTAATTTACTACTTTCATAGTACTCGAAATGTGCCCAAAGTAGCTAATTATACTAAGTAATGCATAAGAGCTAATAAACTCTTTTATGCTTCGGTAACAGAGCATAAATATCAAGAAAAACTCAAATTATTCAATTTCGAATACAATCCACATTACGTTAGCAGAGCCCTCTATTGGCATAAATTAGAAGCTGCCAATTTGAATATCGTAAAACTAGTTAATGACATTGCTACTGTTAAAAGTTAACAGTGCGCGAAGAGCTTTCTTAAACTTGGCGGTTTGTGTCTTCGCCAGAGCTCATAGTTAACAGCACCTTAACAGCTATATTGAGCAAAGCTGTTTGTGTCTTGGCTAATGTTAAGTTAGCAGTGGCTCAAGAGCCGTATAAAGCTCAGTATCAGCAAACTGTTTGTAAATGTGCAGCCAGTTGCAGAGTGCAAACAGGCTTATATTCAAATTTGAGCCAAAAAAAAAGTGCAGCTTCAAATACATGCATATAAGTATATTCTATAAAATAAACAAAATATTCATTCTTTTCACATTATTTCTTACACAATACATTGTTTATTTTTGCATCTAAAAAAATAGAAATTTTTATATATGAACTAACTAAATCTACTTCTTGCGCTCATATGGAAATTTATAGACGGGTGCACTCTCCTTAGTGCCGGGCTTTTCTTTCTTGGGCTTGAGGAGGCGTGGTTTCTTGAGCGCATGCTTCATCTCCAGCTTCTCCTGAACAATGGTTAGCTCACGTACCCGCTGCTCCCGCTTCTTTAGCTCACTCAGCAGCTGCTGTTTGTGGGTTCGGGTGCCCGCCTCCTGGAGGATTTGCAAGATGTATTTATTACTTATTATATTATATATATGGATGTACATTACAAAACTACTCACAGCATTTTCGCTTGCCTCCAGACGTTCGCCCAGCGTGGCGGGTGGCGCTGCCTTCCGGACACCATTCTCATTGAAGATGTATCGTTTGTTTTGGCCAGCTTTGCTGTCCACATCGACAAGCGCGGCACGCAGGCGCTCCAGCTTGCGTCGCTCCATGGTGAGCTTCATTATGATGTACTTGAGATCTTGGGTCTGCATGAGCGCCAGCTGCTCAGGCGTGTGCTCGTCCTTGGCCTCCTTCTCGTGATGCACATCGTCCTTGAGCTTCGAGTTGATCATGTGATGGTAGAACTCATCGGGATTCTTGTTCATGGCCCGCTTGTGGAGCAGCTTCAGAGTCTTCTCCTTGTGGTGGGCATCGTTCGAACGCTTCTTATAGTCCTTCTTCTTCTCAAGCAGGCCGAGATGCTTGCGCGCCTCCGGCTGATGGCGCTCGCGATGCACCTTCTGATTGCTCTTCGATGCCTTCTTCCATGACGACATTATGTATGTATTGCAGAAATGCAAGCAAACAATTGTTTATTAAAAAAAACGTGCAGCCCGCAACAGATACTCAAAATTGCGTTTACATAAATTGTAGAGCATAAATGCGTTTTGGTTATCTGTCTATCGATTGACAGCTGTTTTGCGCGCAAAGAGCCATTTACATCTGTATATTTGTTGTTTACTGCCAGTTTACATCTGCCAGCTGTTATTGAGAGTAGTCGATTATCCCGAAGTTAATTTTATCTGTATTGTCTATCGACAGTTTGCAGCGACACCTGTTGCCTGTGTTACACGATCACCAAATAAATAAATAATTTTAACTGTTCAGTTGCTATTAATTGTATTTGTTGGCAAAAACTTAACAAGCAGCAGCTATAATATAATAATTTGCGCATTCATTTTCTACAATAACTGTATCGATAATTGAAATTAACAGCTTATGTTATTGGTGGAGTCTTCTGCTAAGAAGAGGAGCTGAAACGTTCGCGCTTAACAGTACTGTGAATCGCACGTGTATTTAAACTGTTCGATTTGAGCGATTCTGATTGCTCTTCGATGCCTTCTTCCATGACGACATTGTGTATGTATTGCAGAAATGCAAGCAAACAATTGTTTATTAAAAAAAACGTGCAGCCCGCAACAGATACTCAAAATTGCGTTTACATAAATTGTAGAGCATAAATGCGTTTTGGTTATCTGTCTATCGATTGACAGCTGTTTTGCGCGCAAAGAGCCATTTACATCTGTATATTTGTTGTTTACTGCCAGTTTACATCTGCCAGCTGTTATTGAGAGTAATCGATTATCCCGAAGTTAATTTTATCTGTATTGTCTATCGACAGTTTGCAGCGACACCTGTTGCCTGTGTTACACGATCACCAAATAAATAAATAATTTTAACTGTTCAGTTGCTATTAATTGTATTTGTTGGCAAAAACTTAACAAGCAGCAGCTATAATATAATAATTTGCGCATTCATTTTCTACAATAACTGTATCGATAATTGAAATTAACAGCTTATGTTATTGGTGGAGTCTTCTGCTAAGAAGAGGAGCTGAAACGTTCGCGCTTAACAGTACTGTGAATCGCACGTGTATTTAAACTGTTCGATTTGAGCGATTTGAATAGTCCAGCTATAGTCTAAATCATACCGGCATATTCAATTGAAGCAAAATGGTGAAGAAAAAAATAGATAATCGCATTCGCGTTATGATTGAGAATGGCGTCAAGCTGGGTCACCGTACTATGTTTGTCATCATTGGCGACAAGGCCCGTGACCAAGTGCCCATTCTGTACGACATTCTCATCAAATCCACCGTAAAGGCTCGCCCAACTGTGCTGTGGTGCTACAAGAACAAAGACGAAGCCATTTCCAAGTAAGTAATGGTTCAAACCTTATTTAATACTAATAGCTCATGCCTACCATGCTATGTTTCAGTCACGGCAAGAAGCGTGCTAAGAAAATCGCTCATGGTAAAGTGGACGTGAATGAGGTGGATCTATTCGATGCCTTCCGCGTAGCAACCACAATACACGGTCGCTACTACTCCGAAACACACGCCATACTGGGACGAACCTATGGCGTTTGCGTGCTTCAGGATTTTGAGGCACTCACGCCCAATTTGCTGGCGCGGACCGTGGAGACTGTCGAAGGTGGCGGCCTAATCATATTGCTGCTGAAGACAATGCAGTCACTCAAGCAGCTGTACACCATGAGCATGGACGTGCACAAACGCTTCCGCACCGAGGCCCACCAGACAGTCACCTGCCGCTTTAACGAGCGCCTGATCCTGTCCCTGGCCGACTGCAAACGCTGCCTGGTGGTCAACGATGACTTAACCGTGCTGCCACTGAGTTCCAAGACCATAAATGTGCAGCCGGTGAATGTAAGAATTGGATTGTTAAGATTACCCAAACGAGAACAAAAATTTGCATCTCATGTATTTCGTTTATTTAGCCAGCGGACGTTGCGAGATCGGAGAATGACACCAACTTGAGAGAGCTCCAGCAGAGTCTGTTGAATGTGCAGCCTGCCAGCGCCCTGGTGAGTCTCTGCAAGACCTACGACCAGGCCCATGCAGTTGCCCAGTTCATTGACGCGCTGGTGGACAAGCAGCTGAAACCTCCAATGTCACTGACCGCCGCTCGTGGACGCGGCAAATCCGCTGCTATGGGTCTGGCTATAGCTGCAGCAGTCTCGTTTGGCTATGTGAACGTGTATGTCACCTCGCCTCATCCCGAGAACTTGATAACGCTCTTTGAGTTCGTGCTCAAGGGCTTCGATGCGCTGGAGTATCAGGAGCATGCGGACTACACCATAATACGCAGTACCAATGCGGACTTCAAGAAGGCCATCATACGCATCAACATAACGCGCAACAGCCGCCAGACCATACAGTATATAGCGCCCAGCGATACGCACCTGTTGAATGCCGCCGATCTGCTGCTGATCGATGAGGCTGCGGCCATACCCTTGCCGCTGGTCAAGAAGATGATGGGCCCCTACCTGATATTCATGGCCAGCACCATCAATGGCTACGAGGGCACGGGCCGCTCGCTGAGCCTGAAGCTCATCGCTCAAATACAGAAGGACAATAATGCGCGGCCGCCGCTGACGCTCAACGAGTCGATCCGCTACAGGTGCGACGATGATATCGAGCGGTGGCTCATCAATCTGCTCTGCCTGGACACGAGCAATGTGCCAGTCGTTAGCTCGGGCTGTCCGCTGCCAGTGCTCTGCGAGCTCTACTATATCAATCGGGATGCTCTGTTCTCGTACCACAAAGCCGCGGAGACCTTCCTCAATCGGTTGATGTCCATCTACGTGTCGTCCCACTACAAGAATACGCCCAACGATCTACAGATGATGAGCGATGCGCCCGCTCATCATTTGTTCTGCATGCTTGCCCCAGTGCAACGCATGGATCAGTTGCCAGAGATTCTAGTGGTCATCCAAGTGGCCCTCGAGGGACAAATCTCGTCACAGAGCATTAGCGATTCGTTGGGGCGCGGCAAGAAGGCTGCCGGTGATTTGATACCCTGGAACGTGGCCGAGCAGTACGGAGATCGTGATTTTCCCAAGCTATCCGGCGTACGCATCGTCCGTGTTGCGACACATCCCAACTATCAGCGCATGGGCTACGGCAAGAGGGCAATCGCCCTATTGAAGGACTACTACGAAGGCTGCTTCACGAATGTGGATGACAAGCCCGAGAAGAATAATGACAAAGGTAAGTCGATATTGACTATATTACTTAATTACTAAAGCTAATGCTCTGCTTCGCTGTCTAGTTGGCATTGAAGAGGTGGAGGAGGAGGAGCTGAGCCTGCTCAAAGAGCAGATTCGTCCACGCAAACGTATTCCAACGTTACTCGAACGCCTTCACGAGCGCATGCCGGAGCGCATTGATTATATAGGCACCTCATATGGCCTGACCGCAGAGCTACTTAAGTTCTGGAAGAACGTCGGCTTTGTGCCCGTTTACCTCAGCCAGAAGGCCAACGAGCTGACCGGCGAGCACAGCTGCATCATGCTGCACACACTGAAGCGAGCGCCCAGCAGCTGGTTGCCTCTTTACTTCCACGACTTTCGCCGGCGAGTGCTCAAGCTCATGGCGAAGACTTTCCGCGAGTTCGAAACCAAACTGTGCCTGGCGCTGCTCAAGAACAAGTCCGTGGATGACTCCAGCACAACGATTGCCAAGCTAGACAAGCCCACGCTGGACGTTTACTTTTTGCCGCACGATCTGCAGCGCTTGGAGAGCTATGCGCGCCAGCAGTCCGAGTTCCGCCTTATCATCGATCTGCTGTCCGACATCGCCCAGCTTTATTTCCAGGGTCGCATCGAGGGACTCCAGCTGGATCTGGTGCAACAGAGCGTGCTGTTGGGCCTGGGCGTGCAGGGCAAGTCGGTGGACCAGATAGCCGCCGAGCTCAACATGCCGGGCAACCAGTTGCTGGCCAAGTTCTTTGACGCCATGAAGAAGTGCAATCAGTGCTTCCGCACGGTGCTCGAGGAGCACATCGAGGGTGGCATGCTGCAGGAGTCGCAGCTGCCGCGTGGCGAAGAGCTGCAGCCGCTCTCGCTATCTATTGACCAAGAGCTGGAAAAGACAGCGCAGAAACTGACCAAGCAGCAGCGCAAGGAACTGAAGCGCCTGAAGGCCGAGGCGACATTCAACGAATACCAAATCAAGGGCAGCGAGGAGGACTGGTCCAAGGCGCTCGAGAGCAATGGCAAGGACGCGACTATTGGTGCTGGTAGCGGTCTAGTTTCAGTGAAGAGGTAAGGTAGCTATCAATTAGAAAGAGATAGCAACATCACGCGTTGCTCTTGCACGCTCTCTCGCTTTGTATTGTGCCTAAATGGAATTTCATTTCCATCTCTTCCACAGTGGAATCAAGCGTCTTGACGCGACTGTGGAACCTCCTGATGTGAACTTGGGACCACCACAGACGAAAAAGAGCAAAAAGAATCCCAAGTTGAAAAAGGGCGCAGGCAAATCGCTCATTTAGTGGGCACAGTTGGGGTAGATCTATATTTATAAGGTTTCTTCAATAAAAAAAATAATGGAGAGTTGACGTTAACTAAATCTTGATGGTGTCACTATTGGCTTTAGCCGCGGCGGCCGCCGCCTTCCGGCGATCGCGCAGCTCCTGGAAGCTAACGCCGGGTTCCTTGTGGGAGCTGCGTGGGAAACGCTTCACCTTGGCGCGCTTGCGTTTGACAGCCACCGTTGTGGGCAGCATGTTGCGCTTCTGCAGCAGCTTGAAGCGGTCGGTGAGCAGATTGCTCTCGGTCTTCACATTGCGCAGATTGCCAGCCAGATCTTCGGGCATATTCACATCCAGGTCGGGCTCCTCGAACTTGTGCCGGCCCAAGCGTTTCGTCTCGTACTTTTTGCGCTCCGCTGCCGCTTTGCGGCGTTTCTTCAGGTCTTTCAGCTCTTCGGCCTCTTCTTGCACCTCAGCGCGTATGGATTTGATTCTGTAAATAAATTACATTTTAGCTATGTGGCTGCATTTCTCTGGTCCATGTTCCTTACCTAATTAGATCTGCGGTCTGTTTCTTGAGGGCCTTTTTGGCCTCATGCTGACGCTGCAGCTTCTTTTGCTTAAGCTCCTTGTTACGAGCCGCCTTGCTCTTCTTCTTGTTCTCGACGGGCGCATTGACTGTAGAATAGCTGTTGTCGGCAGACTTCGGATCAACCTCAACCTCATCCTCTGACTCCGGCTCACCGTCCTCCTTGATGCCCTCGCTCATCTCCTCGAGACGGCGCTTGTCGCGCTCCTCGGGCGTCACCTTGCTGAACATGGTGGTGGTGACGCGCTTGAGATGTTGCTCCTTCTTGATAAGGGACTCCTCACGCTCAACAACTTCCGCTAGCAGCTCCTGGTGCGCCTTCAGCGAGGGATTGTAGCTCATGCCTGGATGCGGCGCCTCAAACTTTCTGTAGGCGATAAATAAAGAAATCATCATGAACATTCGTTGCTTCTTTGCAACTCACTTGGCCTTGGTTGTCTTGTGGTGCAGGCTTGCATGCGTTTTGACCACCTTGCGGCCGATGTTGCCAGCAACGTGCAACGCTAGATCGCGACTGATCCAGCCCTTCTCATCCTTGAGGCCGGGTATTTTGTCCCTAAAGTCCTCCTCCTGCCAAATATCCTTGTCGATTTTAGGCAACTTTTTGCCACTTTCTCGCACAGCCAGTTCTTTATCCAGTTTCTCGTAGTAGAGCCCGCGATCCGCGTTCGCCTGTCGATGTCTGGGCTTGGTTGGATTACAAACCTCCAGCTCTATGTTGCGCCCGCTCTTCTTCTGCCTCACATGGTTTCTGTGGCATGGAATCATTTATAGTTGCTGTTTGTTTGTGCTAGGGCAGCTCACTTACCGCTTTACAATCGGATCCTGCACCTTGGATGTGTTCACCAGTGCCTGATGCGAGCGCATAGGCTTTAACGCATTTAATTTGCGTTTCTGCTTGATTGTCAGCTGGCTGGGCGCAGGCTTCTGTGGCGAAGTATCCACCACGAACAGATCTTCATCCTGTTTGTCTGTGAAGGTGCTACATTCGGGCGAGGCGGCGTTAACATAAACTCGTGGTGCGAATTGTTTACCGTTTGCTTTGGCTTACCCGATGCGCTCTTCTTGGCGCTGGTCCTCTAGAAACTGTTCAACATCTTCTATGTCTATCTTGCGCCAAGCGGCTTTGTTCTTCTTTGAAATGCGCTTCCTTTTGGTAGCAGGTTCCTGCGCAGCCATGGCGCCAATAGTTCCAAGTAATTCGTGCCGCAACGAAAACAATACTTCAATCCCAACACGTGCAAGCCGCTGGGCGATGCACAGCACTAGATGTGAACTGAACGTGTGCCGCGTGTTTACCAACACTAGCACTTGCAGCGAATGTTGTCAATCAGCTGTTTTGTGGGCCACACACGCTTCGATTACAAACGACCACAGCTGCGAGTGCTTTAAATCACAATATAATGCAAATATCTGTGATTGAAGAATTATGTCAATATGTGGCACACCTGTGCATAAAATATAGCATATCACAAATATACAGCGCACAAGGCATCAACAAGCCAGATCACTTAATCAAAAGAGCTAGAAAGAGCTCAACTAAAAGATGAAAATTTCTCTGAATAACTTTTTGGACTGTAAGAGAAATGTTTCTATAATTTGTCAATTAAGGTTATGAATTAGAATTCGGGTGTAGACAAACCCTTGTAACTAACATTATGAAGTCATTTGATAAGATAATGCAATGTAGTACAAATAATTATATAAAATAATACATGCATATATATTGTATTTACATGCAACGCCAAGGTGTAAATAGTTAGACCGGCAACACTGCTCACACTGCTGCCACAGCTGATTGCTGGATGACCCACACACGCAGCAATGGACAGTCAGCTGCCTGCAATAGATGCATAGCAGGAGAATGCACTAATGCACACACACACCGTAATTGAGTGATAGCCATTTAGCAGTCAGTGCAGGTACACATACACACAGAGCGGCATTGTACAGTTACGTTTGCTTATCTCCGCCGCTTGGACGTGTTGATTGTATTTCTTCAAAACAAAAATTTGGCGGAAAATTTGAAGACAGCATACCAGTGGCCGCAATCAACTCAGATATACACACATACCTACATGTATGTATATATTATATGTATATATGTGTGTAGCTTGACCGAAGTCTCATATTAAGCTCACCACGTCAGATCTTCGCTTGGATGTAAATCGATCTTGTCGCCGATACAAATAATTTTAGTAAACTAACATTCGCATGCACACACACACACATACGTACATAGCTGCACTGGTTGACGTGTACCTCTCGCAGCATTTAGACGCGCCTGTTGATTACACATTATCGAATTGCCGTGTTTACACAATAGTTTTATAAATCGCCATCAATTTTCAAGAGCCGGCACAGTAGAAGCCCAGCAGTCGACACGATGAGCGCGCCGACATTTGCCGACATATCTGCCAAGTTCAATGAAGCCACCTTGGACGAGATCATTCAGAATGCCGGCGGCACCAAGCACACCTCGTACAAGTTCGGCGCAGGAGGTAAGAAGGGAGACTCTTATCTGAGTCGAGTGTTCCGGCTGTGTGTGTATGGCGTCAAGGAGCCCGAGGGCGAGCAGCTGGAGGTGAATGTTGTTGTCAAGGGCATGCCGGACAACATGCATAGGCGTCGCCTGTTCCGCTCCACGGACTTCTTCCGCAACGAGATACATTTCTACACTAAGATCATTCCCGCCGTGGAGGCTTTCCAGGCGTCGAGGCAGCCCAAGCCTAAGAAGCCTTTCGTCGAATATCCCAAGTGCTATGCATCCTTGTGCGATGGCGCCAACGATTTCATTGCTCTCGAGGATGTGGGCTTCCGTGGCTATCGGTCGCCCGATCGGTAGGTCGACGATTCCCTCTTTCTTCCATCGTCTAAATCATCTTCTTTCAGCCAGAGCTATATCGCACTGGAGGACGCGCTACTCACCATGCGCACCCTGGGCCGTTTTCATGGCGTGGCATTGGCCTTCAAGGCGCTGGATGCGGACAACTTTGAGAAGGCCGCTAGTGCTCTGGAGGAGACCTACTATGGCGAGCACACGCGTGAGTGGTACACGGGCTTCCTGCAGGTGGCCGAAAACGTTGCCCTCGACGCAGTTACCAAGACCTTGCCCAACACTAAATACGAGACTTTGGCCACCAATTTCCTGCAGCCGCAGCTGTTCGATGATATGATTAATCTGGTCTCCACTCGCTCCAAGCTGAGTGTCTTTGGCCACGGCGACTGCTGGACGCCCAACTTTCTCACACGCTACGGCCAGGACGGCGCTCCACAGGAAATCATCATAATTGACTTTCAGCTGGCTCGCTGCGCCTCCTTGGCGCTAGACATCAGCTTCTTTATATACTCCTGCACCAGCCAGCAGCTGCGCGAAGAGCACTACGATGATCTGTTGCGCGCCTACTTGGAGAGTGCCCAGGCGCTCATTACGGATCTGGGCGGCGATGCGGAAGCGGTCATCTCCTGGGAATCGTTGCAGGAGGAGCTGAAACAGTTTGGTCGCTTCGGGGTTGGCATGGGCATCGAATCACTGCCGATGTCGCTCATCGAGGACGACGAAGTGGCCGATCTGGAGGGCATTATCGAGAACGCCGTGCTCACTGACGTCTGGAACATAAAGCCCTTCGAGCAGCCCGCCAAGCGGCAGCGCATCGCCGAGATTTTCAAGCATGCCGTTGACCAGGGCTACATCAAGTAAGCCAACGAGGCATCCACATAGACGTTGAGTACCTCGTATATTCAAGACAATACTTCTATACATTATACAGACATGTGTAAATGTCTACCTGTATAATGTGTACCTGTATACCCTGTATCTGTATTTCGGCTAGCGGGTAATAAACTCGACTGCTGTCCATTATTATTCTTGATCTAATATGATCAACTACGGCAACTAGCTAAACAAAACTCAAGTACTATCAATAATATAATATATCATTAAGCTACACAAATGCATGAGGAAATAAATACATATATTTTTATGAATAGAAATTATAGAAATATATACATACACATATTAATTTATAGTGCTGAGATTTGTTGATGAAATTTTAGTACACAACAAAAATGGTTCATGAAAAGACTAAGCCAGGTTCACGAACCAGAAAGAGCGTTGCTTGAAATCGTAAATAGATCATGATTAAATTCATAACCTACTTTATGCTTTATGTAAAGTTTAGGTTACGTGAAATTTATAACAGCATGTGAATAGTTAGAAATTCCCTTAATGGAATGTATGGTACTATCATGTGCACTTCCTATGTGGGAACACAGCTAGAAACTGTTCCCAGCTCTAGAAATTTCTATGGAGCCTAAAAATATGCTGTAAATGATATAAGTCAAGGTTGTTTGTACTGGATATTCAAAAAAAGAAATAAAGTTTTAAATATTGAATTTTCATCATATAAATATTTATGGTTTACACTAAGGAGTTCACGAGAAATTCTGAGCAACTTGTATGGACTAGCAACAAAAGCTTATATATATGATAAGGTAAATACCCGCTAAGACTAACAAATGCCTCTGTCTTTTTAGCTCTGGCAGTAAGAGAAATTTACAAGGTGTAAATAGAGTGCTCTGGCTGGCAGAGCTAAATCACCCCTAAATATCAGCAAAGTTCACAATGTCAGATCGTCATCAGCGTTCGCTCTTCTCACCTCGCTCGCAGAGGGAGAACGCTCTGAGTCGCTCTCTTTGACGCTTTGTGTTGAGAGCAGTGCTGTCAACTTTTCCGGGCAAGAAATTGCTAAAATGCGAAACCTTTAAAACCTGCTAGAAACGGCTAAATCAAATTCAAGAATAGGAGAAATATAGCCATTTCAGTTTTTATACGCTGAACCCATTGACAATGGGAAATTAGGGTATAAATGCCAAATTTTCCGCTAGCACCTAGATTACAATTTTTCCTGGATTTGGCAGTTGAAAAAGGCCAGATCTGGCCGGTAAAAGGCTAAGTTGCCATCCCTGGTTGAGAGGCAGCGCGACAGTGCTGACACCGACAAAAGTGTAGAAGCTAGTTTCAAATAAAAATAAGCCTTATTTGTTTTATATAATTTATAAACTGTAGAATGAAAATATATAAGAGCTTTGAGTTTTTCCTTAATATATATATATTTCTTTGTTAAACATTTGAAAATTAATATCATATACATATATGCATAAAAATAGAAAATTTGAATAAACATTATATATCTGAATGAAATATTTTTCAAAATTAATAACTTTTGTTATTAAATGTTTAATAAAAAAAAAAAAAATTAAAATCGAAATCAAAATAATGACAATAAAAATACAAATAAAAAAGTAGAGTAACTGACATCAGTTTAATTAATCTGCAATACAACAAATAATGTTAGCTGTAGCTAGAGAGTCTTTAGCGTCTTTAGTCAATTCTAACGGGAAAATGCCGCCAGTTAGCCAACACTGGCGCGCGGCGTGGCCTTAACACGGCATCGCTCGCGTTGCATGCCTCAGTCTCTCCACGCACGCGACGAGCTGCGGATCAACGCTGCGATCGTCGATCGCTTCAAAGTGGTTCTGAAATATTAGCATTAAACGCAACGTATTTACTATATTTTACAACTATTTTGTTTTTTTTTTTTTGCGTTATTTATTTATTGTTCTTCATAAAATTTTTTTTCTCGTTTGAAACATTTACAATCGCATGTGTGGAAAACGCGACGGCACTTGAAACGATGCCATTGCCATGCCTGGTTGTATACTTACCTAGATGCTTAAATATATACGATTATATATACACACACAAGCACACTCACGCACACATACACACACAGGCACACACATAGTTTTGCATAGAATGTGAATTAGTTGCTCCGATACGTTAGTCTAGTGAATCGCGAGTGATTTTATGTTAATTTTTTTTTTATGTTTTTATGCACTCAAAATCATGCAAAAAAAGTGTCAACGAAATGAAAACGAAAAGTTTAACAAATTGTGAGTGCAAAGGCGACTAATTGATTGATTGATTGATTGATTGATTGTTGATCGAAGTGTAACAGCAACAGCAACAGCAGCAGCATCAACAACAACAACAACAACAGCAACAACAAGAGCACATGAATATAAAAATGCAAACAGCAAATTGAAGATCCAACAATAACAACTCAACTATATATACATACATATATATATGACCATATACATATATACATAATCAAACCGCAAACGAGCGAAAAAAATACGAAAAAGTGAGTGATTTATTTAATACACGTATATACATACATACATATATATATCTAGATATAAGTCAGATATGTACGTATATAGTGTCATGCCCATATTCTACTATATATACATACATACATATACAGACCGACAGACCGACAGAGGGACAGACGGACAGACCCACAGATGGACCGGGGGCAGAGCGCACTCATGAGCTTTGCTACGGTTATGATTATGGTTATGCCCGGTTTCGGAAGCAGCAGCCCGCCAGTTGCCGTCAACGATCATCATGATGCTGCTAGCTCTACATCTCTCCATCTCCTTCTCGCCCGCTGGCTCTCTCTCCCTTGCTCTCTGAGTCTCTGCTGCGTTGCCGGTCTCGTTTCTGTATATGAGAGGGGGGCTGTGGCCGGCTCTGGCTTTGGCCTGGGGCTGAGGCTGCGGCTGAGGCTGGGCCTGCAGCCGAAATGAAATGGAATTAAATTAAATCAAATGATAAAAAATATAAATCGAGCGTAGAAACAGTGGCAGCCCTCTGTGCCAACGGTCCAAAGCAGCGAAAAAAAAAAGAAAACTGAAACAAAAACAATCGGAATCAGAATCAGAATCTGAATCGGAATCTGAATGAGAAACCCCCACAGTCCGACAACTGACTAACTGACTAACTGACTAACTGACAAACAGGCAAACTGTTGCATTGCCATTAGGGGGCACAGTACGCATACAAATGCAAATACGTGTGCTCTCTCTCTCTCTCTCTCTCTCTCTCTCTCTCTCTCTCTATGTGTGTGTGTGTGTGTGTATATTCATAGACGCACTACAGCTAATGGATATGCTCAACGTGCTATTAACGTGCACACATGCCATAAAGACCCAAAGAGCGGAAGGAAAATCCAAAGGGTAAACATCGGCAGACCCTAGAGCCGGCTATCGACTGTCGACTGTCGAATGTCGACTATTGGATGTCGGGAGTCGGCAGTCGGGAGTCGGCACTTGTTGTTCCCTGCTCCTGCAGCCGGCTGCCATAGGCCATAAATACATAGATAAATACATTGAACTCTTCTGTTGGCGTTGCTTACATAACGCGCGACCCTCCTTCATTTTGAATATGTCAAAAATCTGTCAGAATATAAATAAGTCGCCCTCCGAACTGCATCTGTATCCGTATCCGTACTCATATCAGTATCTCAGTCTGTGCCTGTATCTGTACCTGCTGCATCTGTATCTGCAGCTCGATTTGTTTATGCATCCGTGTCTGCATCTGTATTCGTAACTGGATTCATAACAGTAATTGTAGCTATATTTGAAAGGTGTCCCCTTTGTCTGATACTGTATCTATATACATATATCTGTATCTGCATTCCTAACTGAATTTCAATCTGTATCTGTATCTGTGCCTATATCAGTATCTAAAATTGAATCTCCACTTTCATTCTCATCTGCATCTGAAACCGTATCTGAAATACTATCGGTATTAGTATTCGTATCTGTATCTTTATCAGTACCTCTACCTGCATCTGCATGTATCTGTATATCTGTTAGTATCTGCGTATATCCGAATTTTTAATAGTATCTACATCAGTATTTGCATTCGAATTCAAATCTTCATTTCGATCTGCGTATACTATATACGAGATACATATATTCATAGACACTCAGACGTGTATCTGCATGTGGCTTTAAGCTTGAATCTATACTTGTATATTAACTTGTATCTACTATGTGTATAACAAAATTCAACAAAATTTATATACATTTTTGTTCACACAAATACATATTAATACATATTTTTCAATCTATTTCTGCATCTGTTAGGAACAGCATCTGCTAAGCCTATTAACATATTGCTTGCCAATCGATCGCCTGACATTTGACATTTGTTAAAACATGCATAAATATAAACACTCATATATCATATATATATATATATATATATATATATATATATATATATATATACATATATATAGATATATTTGTGTCTGCATATACATTCAAGCACTCACATATATATATGTACATATATAGCAACTGCTGCCCTCACATCATTCGGATCTTTTGTTTGTTTTGGCCAGAGATCTGCGAATCATCGTTTGTTGTTGCAGCTGAAGCGCTCACAACTTGAAAATATATCCAGTAACCAGTGAAAGGGCGTGAAATCGCTTCAATTTTTATTTATTACCAAAGTCTTACAATAAATATATTGCTTGATTTTTAAAAACATTTTACTTTTTACATTTCTGAGTCAAATATTCTTTCATATTCTTCTGTTTTAAAATGATCGCATTATCATACTACAGCGTATCATGTAGTCCAGTATACCCATTTATTTATCTTATTTATTTGCAACTTTTGATAAATGATTTGCAAATTGTTTTTAGGATTGTCTGCCCCGCTGCCAAATTCTAAAGCTCATTTTGAGTAGCTTGAGGAGCGAAACAAAGAAATGTTTTTGCCCGAAAACTAATTCGAAAAAAATATGGACTTTGCATTCGGGGTATTCCATGTGCTGAGAAATGAAAATAAATCGCGCAACAGCTGTCAGCACAAGCTAAAAACATTTTAGATGTTTTTAAAATGTAAGAAATAGAATTTTTTGTGGCTCAGTTGTTAGTTGCAATATACGTTGTTTACATTCTTTTATAAGAATACCTGTTGCTACACTGTAAAGGAAATACGTCAATTATATTTACTGCTAATTATATGAAATGGGCTTTACTTGCAACTTTGCCATGAATTTTCTAGTCTCAGTTTGAAATATGAACTACAGTAAAAGCTGATTATATTTATTCTGGGGTATTTCGAATGGTAGTCATTAGGATATACATATAACGTA